AAACCAAAAGAAAGCCAAAAACCTTAATTTGTACTTACGAAGTGTCTGCTGTGTTAAATTAAATAGGTGTCAAACATTTAACAGGGTCAAAGTCACACCAAAACTGTCTACATAAGATGAAACTCTAGAATTGCAAATATACTGATACATAGTGTAATACTTTCCATTAATTCTTAAATCATAGTACAATTTTACCAGAGGTGGTATCCACTGTAGTCACACTGTGAAAGACCATAGCCATTAATGGGTCATGTCTAGAAGCATTGCTTGTGGACTATACTTTCCAGGTCATGTAACTGATATTGGAGCTTGTTACAAAATTTAATTAACAGCTCTTAGAGAGCTTCTAAATTAGAAGCATATGCCCCAGCTACAATTCCAAAAATATCTAATCCCCCCCCCCCCAAAAAAATAGAATAATTTTACCTGGTATCTAATTATTCTCTTCTGCTTTAAGACAATACTATATCAATACAAAGTCTATATATATATAGACTTTGTATTGATATATATATTACAGCATTCTATATAACTTATACTGTCGCTTCCAAAAAAGTAGTTGTGGAAATGATCACTTGAAACCACAGAATAAATCATTTCTTTAAAAAAGTCAGGAAACTAAGCCATGCAGTTCTACATTATTCATGTATAAAAACATACTTCCTCTGTGGCAAATAACAACGGGATAAAAAGAGAAGTGAGAAGCTTAAAAGTGAAGTGTGAAAAACATCCAGCAATCCAAAAAGAGAACTTAATTTTAAGGAGAGCAAAGTTGGTGTAGGATTGGGCTTCCATAGTGCCTCCTTGTGGGACCATGGAAGCCCACTCCCACTCTCTTAGTCTAGGCAACTCCTCAACACTTGCCATGTTTACCTCTCTCTGCTCTATGCCTACTCCTCCTTGGAGTAAGCAACTCATTACAGCTAACTTTTGATCAGGCATTAATAGCACTAAGCTGTTAATGTGAGACAGAACATTTTTGATAATGGTGGAGGAGAGCTATGTGGTTATTTTCATGACCAGGATTTGCTCATTAAGAAAAGAAAGTATGATTGTTTCACTTATGTTCAGACACCCATGGAACCTTTCGGAATGCATGTATAGTATTGCATACAAACTCTTAAATAAGATGCTGTGAACCCCATCCAATGAGGGTTGCAGAAGGGATGTGTAACTTAAGTCAGTGTAACTCATCCCTTAGCATTTTTTGCTATAAAATAAATTTAGGGGTTTTTTTATTTAAAAAATCAGTTCCATTTATGCTATACTGAGAGATTTTAATACTGAGTCTATTCTTTAAAAACACTAAGTGTATATAGACATTCAACTATTAATGTGTGCGGTAACTGGCAGAAGTTCTGTTAAACTAGCATCACTCAAGGAAACTTTAAATCCTGCCATCTTTCTTCTATAAAATTCCTCAATAAATATTAAGTTCTCCCTTTTTAATATGAGAGTTTTGCTATTTTTATATGGTGATGCTTTAATAGTTGTGATGATGTCATCTATAAGAAGGAGTAACAGATGGTTTGGGATAAAGACCAAAGTGTTTTTTTCTCCATATGGATGATGAAGACTGAACATGTAATAGTTTCAAGAATAACTCCACCCACCATTTTGGTCTGATGTTCTCCTTTATAGTTTGTTGGAGTTCCTCCTTTCTTATTGACCATTTTTCTCTTCTCTAATAGAAATAAGGTTTTTTCTATCTTTCTAATTCCCATTCCCATCATGGCTTTCTGCCACCTATGCCAGACCTCACTACACAGAAGATTGTTGCTACAAAAAAGAATCCCCTTTCTTTTAACAGTACTGTAAAAATATGGGGGCCCCGGTGGTGCAGTGGGTTAAACCCTTGTGCCGGCAGGACTGAAGACCAACAGGTCGCAGGTTCGAATCCGGGGAGAGGAGGATGAGCTCCCTCTATCAGCTCCAGCTCCTCATACGAGGACATGAGAGAAGCCTCCCACAAGGATGTTAAGAACATCAAATCATCCGGGCGTCCCCTGGGCAACGTCCTTGCAGATGGCCAATTCTCTCACACCAGAAGCGACTTGCAGTCGCTCCTGACATGACAAAAAAAAAAACCCTGTAAAAAGGAAGTGTTCAGTTATCCTAAGATATCACTACTAAACTATGGGACTCTCACACATTACGAAGCAGAGATCTGAGTTCATTAAGTTGTAAGTCAACCAACGTCATGTATTTACCTCACTCCACTTTAAAGGATCAGCACAATTAATTAACCCAAGGGTTAGAAGAACCCATGAATCACATGCAACATAAAAATTTCAGTCTATAAAGAAACAGCCCTGATAAATAGAACAATATATTATGTGTAAACATGTGTATATTAACATGCATATAAAAGTATTTCTAGGACTGTGCAGCTGGAGGCCAAAGGTGAGCTTGAGTATTTATAAAGTTAGAGAGGATCCAAACTGATCAATGATTGATCAATGACTGAGGGAATGAGCATAGTTCCACGAAAGTTCACTGGTGGAGACTGGCTAGCCAGAAGAGGAGCCTGCAATGCTGGGCTCTCAGGGATGCACAAAAAGTTGCAAGAGAAAGAAGCAAACTATGGTTCAAGTGTTGCAAAMCTGAGAACAATGAGCAGAAGAAGAGCCTCAAAATAATGGAACTGAACCAGTAAAAGGRCTTTATGCTGTCCTATGTATTGTTCCCCTATCCAAATCACCAGGTATGACAATATATGGCAGGGGTCCTCAAACTAAGGCCCGGGGGGGGGGGGCGGATATAGCCCTCCAAGGTCATTTATCCGGTCCTCGCTCAGGGTCAACCTAAGTCCTAAGCAACTTGAAGGCACAAAACAACAATAACAACCCTATCTCATCAGCCAAAAGAAGGCMCATACTTCCCAATAAAATACAAATAAGTTTATATTAGGTAAAATTGTTATTCATTTTAATTATTGTATTGTTTTAAGTGTTTTATGCACTACAAATAAGATATGTGCAGTGTGCGTAAGAATTCATTCATGGTTTTTTTTAAAAAAAATTATAATCCGGCCCTCCAACAGACTGTGACCTGGCCCTCTGTTTAAAAAGTCTGAGGACCCCTTGTATATGGAAAGCCCTTCTTCGAAGCTGATTGGCAAGGGGAAATTCAGGTCACCCCTCAATGGACAGCTCAATTTTAGTTTTTTAATGGGATTTCTCTGATGCAACCTGAACTGCTTTAAAAACATACCACTGGATCAAAACAAATGCTTTAAAATATATTCAGCAGACTTAACAAAATTTATAGTAAGACAAAACACAATTTCAAAATTACTTTGGAAGAAGCAGACTGTTTTGTGAATATCATTTCACAAAAAAGTAATGTATGTTCATGAACTTGTCCATCCCTGTCATCTCCTGATAATAAGGATAACGATTATAATGAATACCTTCTTGAAGGCACATTTAGGTGTCTTTAACATGTTTCAGCAAAATCTCTCTACCATGAAGGGCAAGCATGGTGCTTTTCTAATTAATAAAATAGCCTCAAGATTTCATAACTACAGAATTGACAGCTAAATTCCTTCCATATATCAACTCCCACATTTAAAAAGAAAACAGCTACAAAGATCGTAATGTTCTTTATCTTCTGTGATAATTAAGTCTACTCCATGGAAGCATATTCCAAAATTAGTGATTTGAATCCTTCAGCAAACTGTAAGTAAGTAGAAACATTTCCCATGACGCACGTCCCCCTTCTATCTCCCAACACATCGAATTGCTGCCAATTTGTAAGCTGCCTTGAGTCGCCTTCGGGCTTGAGAAAGGCGGGATAAAAATATCGTAAATAAATAAATACCCATGCTATAAACATTAGAAGGTATGAGTTACAAGAAAAGTATGAGTGGCAAGTTAAAACTACTTAAAATAACAATGTAAGATGCTGTGAGTGAAACCCTGTCATAAATGAATATTCATGACATTGTTCTAAATTGATCTAACAAGCTTTAAAGAATTCTGCTCGCAAAACAAAACAGCAACAACAGAATTCCTCAGAATAAACAGATTTTTCACCTGTAACTAATACTCTCCAGGTGACTTATACACACGCAAGTTCAGTGCATGTGGCGGGAAAGGAGAGCAGCCCCTAGTTGGCTTCATTAAGTGCAATCCGCACTACCAAGACACTCCAGAAAAGTGCTTGTAGGCTATGTGGTGGATGCATGTTCAACCATCTTTTCATAAAGCAATTATACAAGGGAGAAACAAACAGTTCTCAAAACAGAAAATGATTAATAGAAACAGCCAATATGAAAATAAGTAACTGGTCAGATTAACAAAACCTTGTTACCGGATGGCAAAAAAGCAACAAACCAATAAACCCAAACAGCAACACTTGAAATTGGCATGGGACTCTATAAGAGGAATTAATTATCCTGTTCCTGAATAGGCATCCTCTTTGAAGAAGGCTTTGTCCATTGAATATTCCTTATGTAGAGCCGCACAACCATTTGGGCCTCCAATTCCCAGAAGCCCTGCCAGCTTGTTCAATAGGAATTCTGGGAGCTGAAGTTCAAAACACCTGGAAGGCCACAAATTGTTCAGTCCTGCAACTTGTAACATGGGGTGTGGGCCAGTATCAACGCATCATAAGCCTGAATATACAATCCATAGTAACATGGATTGCACTTTAACAGTTAATAACATATACATCTACATTTTTTTAATATGCTGGAGACAGCTGGTGTTCACCTCCCCTGTTGTAGGCAATCACACACCTCTGTAGTGGGATCAACAAGAGTATTGTTCTGCTCTGTCCTAGCTCAAGTTTTAGTGTATTGTTTACCACAGACTCACTGCTGTCATGCAATGTATATGGGCTTTTACCTTGAGAATTGCAGATTAACATTTTAGAAGTATCCCAAAGCAGTACAGCTATAACAGTCAATTAAGAATACAATTAAAATCAGTTATCGTGCATTCTAGTAAAAACACTACAAAAATAATGTAAGCTAAAATTATGCCAGGAATACTTACAGTAATTTCCCCACTCTTACTGCAACAGGAATATGAGGAAGCTGAGTAGCCCACTTTAAGCACACATCTTGATAAATATGAAGGAGACTGTTATGGTTTCCAATCAGTGTGTTTACTACCGTCCCAGAAACTATAAGGTAAATAGAGAGACAGACAGATCTATCAATTTCCATCCATGTTTCTTTATTCTTTCACTATTTTGTCACTTTTTAGGACATACAGCAATGTAAACACATTACAAATATATTCAAAAATACAATTTCAATCCATTATAAATACAAAAAGGACAGCAATTATAGACCACAATAAATGTGAATATTTTATTATGAGTAAAATTAGTACCAAGCAGCTGACAGGTAAATAAGAAATGGTATATACTCTGCAAGAAAGAGAGATAAGATTAGATAAATTAGATTGCCTATTTTTTATTATCAGTCTCAATTAAAAGTTTTTCTATGCAAAGACAGTGTTGGAAATGACAACTTTCTTCAAGCCTTCTCTAGAAATCCTGTTGTTCACTATTCATATGTATGTTCTAGTATGCAGGTTCCTTTATGGTTCCTGAGAAGTTGTAGGAGAGGCTGCAGACCACATTCTCTCCCCCTCTTCTTTTGACTATGTGACCTGTTGATAGCTGTTTTGCTATAAGAAAGATATCCTGGATGGATGGTACAGAGAATTATCTCAAACATATCTGAAACTGGACTGGTAAGTTTTTTACCTGTGTATGATGAATAAATGAAGGTTGTGAGTAAACCAAATATGGTATTTTTATCCCAATCTACTTCATTTTTGTCTCTTGAGTGCATGATAGCTAACTAATTGTTTTATGGGGAGTAAATATTTTTGGCCAACTGAAAAACACTTTTAAAGCTCCGCTGGTTTTATGCACTGGCAAATCTCTGTTTTCCTAACAGATCAGAGATACCATGTTTTCCTCAAGAAGACACACTATGGCTTATTTTCAGGGGGTGTCTTATTTTTATTAAGTATGGTACAACATTCTGCATTTATGAGATGATCTCTCTGGGCTCAGTAGCATACTGCTTGCTGAAGCTTTCCCACTATCCCCTGATGTTTGTGTGAGGTGAGAGAGAGCAGAGCATCCCGCTCCTCACTTCACTGAGACTTTTACTTCCACTTTCTATGTCTCCCTCTATGCCTCAGTTTTCAGCACACACAGAATGACTGGAACCTGACAGGGGGAGCTGACCTTGTACGCTGCATAGCCATGCCTATCACTATGTCTTATTTTCGAGGTACGGCTTATATTTTATGGGTATGTCTTATTTTAGGGGAAACAGGATAACAGGTTATTCAGTCTAACAACTGAAACCATTGCCTTGTATAATTATATCTGGTTGTATACCACAAGAGAAGATTCCACTCTGAAGGGTTTTTGGTTCTTCGCTGAAAGATCATGCTTTTCCATAAAAGTTATGATCTCCAAATGGTGTTTTCCAAAAGGTTTTGAATGACATTTTCCAAAAGATAACACCCTAACATTCCCCAAATGTTAAAACTGTCATGAGAAGACACAATTATGCTTAGTAAGGTGGAACGTTGTAGGAACAGAGGAAGACTGCAATACAGGTAGATAAATTCAATCAAGGAGGCAACTGCTCAGAGTCTGTAAGATGATTGAGTGACTTGGAGGTATCTCATTCACAGGGCTCCCTATGACAGCATTTCACAATAATAATATTATATATGTTATATATTCTGTAAAAATATCAATATAAAACATTATAGTAATCCTTAGTCAAAACCAGCTGAATTAAGAAGATCCTACAGTACCCTTGTATTTAACAACTCACTATAACACCATAAAAGAACAAGAATTCCATGTAGACGTGGGATCATTCCTCGCCTCCTCTACCAAAATGAATGAAAAGTCCACTCCTCCAAAGCTATCATAAGACCTTTCTTTTAGTTTTTTAAAAACTACCCAGCTAGGCATTTCTTTGAGAGAAAGGAGCTTTCCCCTTTCCATGCCCAATACATAAACAGCATCCATGTAAAAAATAAATAAATGGCAGGCTAGTGTTTTTGTAGAGTTAATAACAAAGAGTTCCATGCTATTTTTGGAACATGCATTCCTTGTGAGAAAAAAAATCCATTATTCAAAGGGCAAATATGCAGGATGTTTATTTACATGCCTACAGTGTCTCAACTTGAAATATACAACTTAAAATTACTTCCTTGACTCAATGTTAGAAACTGGAAAATGACAAGACAAGTGCTATGGAGTGTGAAAAACACCTTAATCACAGAGACCTTTAAAAACTACTATGTTTTCAGTATTCACAAAACTTTAGTTAATGCATTTGGCAAGGGTCTAATTATATAGCTGAAAACTGATACAGAACAATCACTTATTTACATAATGAACTAATTGAACATACTAAAGACTTGAGCATTCTATGTTTCAATAGGAAGTTAGAGAGAGCATTACAAACAATTTAAAATATGTAGCATTGGTTGAAATGTTAAAACATGTTAATGCCATTCAAAATTAAATTAATTTTAAAAAACTGGTTTTATTTTACAAACCTGCATATGGAAGAAAGCAACTTGGGCTACAGTCAAGCTTTTTTATGAACCGAATTTGCCCATTATCTTTAAGACAAAAGAAGTTCCTCTCCCCAAGCACAAACACACTGGAGATAAGTTGGTTGACTGAAATGACACATATATCCAGAGCTTGCTCTCCAATGTTTAAAACCCAATCCACCTTAAAAAAAGAAAGTAAGTGTACAGCAGACAGAAATATATTATGCAAAACAAAGTAGCTTAACTGAACTTGAATTAAATAGCTTTTCAACATGAGAAAAATATCAGTCATCCATACAGTCATTATGTGTTACTATTAAATGAAATCAAAAGTGTACAAAATGTTATAATACTTTTTTGCTGTTCTGTGCCTTCAATTCATTTATGATTTATGATGATCCCAAAATGAACCTAACATAGGATTTTCATGGCAAAATCTGTTGGGGTGGAGCCTTTCCCTTCCCTAAAACTGAGAGAGTGTGACTTTCCCAGGATACTACCTGTATTTTACTGCATGATAGTTGCACTTTTTAACCTTTTTTTGACAAAAAAGGGGGTTCAACTATAATGTGATTTTTAAAAATCCATCTTTGATTGTTTAAATTTCTGTTTTCTTTTTTTACCTCCGAAAGGGGTGGTAGAGGAGGGATGATTCAGTCTCGAACAAACAGCTCTGTTTCTGTTTTTCGTGTTTTTTTTTTCATTTTTTTCTACAAAATCTGAATTTAAACTCTTTGGAGGAAGGTGGAAGAATATGGAAGATCTGAGTTCCAGATACCTCTTTTTCAGGTTTTTAAAACTGTCTTGCTTTCAGAGAAAGAAGGAAGGTAGGGGGAATCGGCTCCCCCCCCCCAATTGGGGATGTGACTATTACGTGGTGGCAACTATTATGTTGTGAAATACAGGGAGATCTAAAGTAAATCTAGCTTGAATCCCACTCAAACTAATGAAAGTTTTTCTAACTTTCACCAACAAAACAGACGTCCATGGTAGATTCATTCCTTCTCTTCATGATATCCCCAGTGTATGGCCAAATCTACAGACCAGAGTCTCATGGTAGCATATCAGACCAGAATGCAGTAAGTTACAGGAGAGTAGATGGAAAGAGGACCACTTCTTCTGTGGGCAGATATCTATTTAATACTGCAATTACCCTCACTGAACAAGTTAGCAATGGCCTTACCGATTTCAATATCAACCATGTACAATTATTTTAGTCTGGATACTCAACCATAAATTGAACAGAATAACAAGAAATTAAGCTATAAATACTGGGTTTCTATCACTTAACCACAGAATGACAGCCACCGGGATTGTGGCACAGCTGGCTGAGTGTCAGCTGCATTAAGATCACTCTGACCAAAAGGTCATGAGTTCGAAGCCAGCCCGGGCTGGAGTGGGTGTCCAGCCATTGTGTAGCCCGTTGTCGACCTTTGCAACCCGAAAGACAGTTGCATCTGTCAAGTAGGAAAATAAGGGAACACCTTGTGTGGGAGGCTAAATTTAACTAATTTATGAGGCCATAAAGAAAGAAGACTCCGGGGAATGTGGAATGCGGAAGAACTTCATCGGTGTCGTTGATGGACGATGAAAAGCAGCAGCTCCCCTGGCGGCCAGAAAAAAGTTAAATAGCCTTTGTCTGTTAAATGTTGTTTGTCAAACTGGCATTGAATGTTTGCCATATATGTGTTTACTGTAATCCGCCCTGAGTCCCCTGCGGGGTGAGAAGGGCGGAATATAAGAACTGTAAATAAATAAATAAATAAATAAATTGTGACATTGGTTTTATTTCTCCAATTTCAATCCACCTGAAATTTCCCAAAGTCGTTTAGAGGTGTGCTTCCAGGGATGATGCTGAGGGAAATGCCTTTAGTATCTCCTCTTCGACCAAAAGGAAATGGAGGCATCAAAATCCCTCAAACTTCTAATGAGGTAGCAAGTACCTTACCAAGACGATGAAACGGATGAGGATTGGAACAAGAGGATATAGCTCTTTTTAAACTGTTATTATGCACTGTCTTTATGTTTAAGTGCACTTTAATTGTTTTTGGTTTGTGAATGTATGTATTGATGGCATTGAATTGTGCCGATATGTAGACCGCCCTGAGTCGCCTTCGGGCTGATATGGGTGGGATATCAATAATGTAAATAAATAAATAAAATAAACAAAACACGCGTCTCTTCCAAATTCAATCAAAGAATGTCAGTTCTCCATTATATATGCTGTATATGTTGTGCTCCACCCTGAGTCCCCTTCGGGGTAAGAAGGGTGGAATATAAATGTTTTAAATAAATAAATAATAAATAATTATGGCACAAATGCCAAAACAGAAGAAATACAATAAAAAATACAAACTTAAGCAGACATCATATTGATGCCTATAATGTGAAGCTTTTATTATTTTTATTACTTTGCTAAAACCAGCAAGATGCAGAGCTTCAAGACAAGACACTTTTAAAATTAAAAGCTTTTTTAAAAATATAACTGCCCCCAACTTAAAAAGTTGAACACTCTTTATTAGAAAAAGCTTCATTGCTGGGTTACAAATTGTGAATTTAGAACAATCCTATAATTGCATTTGCAGCACGTCCTATTAAGAGGAATGGGGTTTACTCCTAGACAAGTGCACACAGGATTACTGATTAATGGAGCTGAATTCTTGATATTAAGTCAGAAGCTCGTTTGCAATTTACGTATTTATAACTGACCATCCATATGAATAAGCAGATTTACCACAAGCCTTTTTCCAGAGCCAAGTTTTTGTTGTTCAGTTTCTTGTGTCTCAGCATCTTTTGCAAATGCAAGCACTTCATATCTATTGTAAAAAAGAAAATAAATTATTTAACACTGTGGCCGTCTAGTGTTTCATGGAGTTTTACTTTTCTTAAAAAACAGCCTTTGTGCTCTGTCACTAAAATTCTGTGTAAAAGCACTGAATGAACTAAAATCAGTGGAAAAGGTTAACCAATGTATTTTAGTCAGTATCATATTAGTAAAAGTTTATTTAAGTACTCCGAGGGTTCATTTATGAATATGAATGTGGTATTTAAATTTAAATGTAATGTTTAAATATAAATTTAGTATTTATCAAATATGAATAAAAAATTTGGGCTGAAACCCATTGGTTAGTCCCAACTAGAACAGAGCCAACACAAGTAGTTGTATATCAACTAATCACACAAAAACAACTTGCAACTAATTCATTTTTCCAACAACAATGGGATAATGAAATCTCATTATTACTGTAATTTCAACAAGGGGAAAACTGCTGCTTTTGTAGTAGAATTAGACTGTTTTATTTTTTGTAGGACTGCAGATGTTGGGCCTCAATAAATGGCCAAGAAGGAATATCTCATGATTCAAGAGTCTTTTGTTTTCCTTGTGATCTGTAGAGGTTTTTGAGATGACAATGAAGATGGGAGGGCTATTATTTGTAATAATCAAATGCTACTTTTTAAATGACCAACTACGGTTTAGGCTCTGGAATTCTACAAGAACAAACTATTTGTTAAAAAACACTTTAAAGTTCTGTACATAAAGGGCAAAGAGCAGCAGATATTTAATGTCAATACTTACTTGTAGCTCTCAACCTGTCGACAAGAAGAAATAGTAATAAAGGAATCTGTTCGAGAACTATATGTCAGTGGACCAGGCAGAAGAAAGCCAGGAAGAAAACGTCCAAATGAATAGCTTTCTTGTTCAAACAGCATAAGCATGCCATCTACAGATTGTATACAGATCAAATCACGACCTAAACAAGAAAGAAGCAAAGTTGTTTACATTAGGCATTCTATTTTGTAAAATACTAAACTGGATAGTTACTGATATTCTATACATACACATGTATGTTCTTACCACTTCATGCAGAACTGCTGATAGCAGCGGAAAAAAGGAACTGAGGCTCAGTCTCCACCACAAGCATTTACAATTCATGGGGAGTGCGGGTGGGGCTACACCAAAATATTTCAATCTAAAAGACCTAGAAGGTTCCGAAAGGCTGAGCATGCACCGAACAAACCCATAGGTGCGATTTCACAGACACCACAAAGAAGAATGAGTACTTACTAAATTATACAACATACTGCAAAATTGTATCTATTCACCAAACTGTTCCAACAGAAAAGGAGAGAAGTGAACCACCTGGAGAAGAAAGTTTAATGTCCTGAGTCCTATTGTGAGATGAAATCACCATCATGTCCCTGGTTGTGCTCTACATCTTATGAACTACTCTCCGGCAGCCCATTGTTAAAAATTAATTGCATTTTAAATCTTTGAAGCATGTTTGTTTCATTTAACTCAACACTCTATATACACAATATTACATTGTGAGGAATGAGATGTTCAAATGATGATAAATCCTATATTTACTACCCACAGAACAGTCTTTCTTCCTTCTGATGAAGTCCTAGCACAGGCTTTAAATTGGATCCTAAGTTTTATTTATGTTCTTCATTATACAGGAGAGTTGCACAAAGGCCTGTAATGCTCTTTGAAAGCATAGGTCTGTATCTACACTGCATGGTTGACATCAAATGTACTAAAATAAATAAATAATAGAAACAATCTACAAAATTGTTGCTGGTGCATTAAGAAAACCGAAACTTATATACATTTATGGTGGGAGTATGAAAAAAATTGGGATAAAGTATTTGTTGAAATTATCGATAAATCTACGAAAAAATCAAAATATGGCACTTCTATTAAATTTTGGAGATATAAGATTAAAATGACAGAATAAAGAATCAATAGTAATTTTTGTTATTGCTTTAAGACATTATAGCCATGATTACAAAATTTATACTTGGTATAAAAAGGTGTTGCAGCTAAACATCAAAAAACCAAGATTATGGCAACAAGAATGATTGATAATTGATAATGATTGGTAACTGGCAAATAGAGGGAGAAAATGTGGAGGCAGTGACAGACTTTGTATTTCTAGGCGCAAAGATTACTGCAGATGCAGACTGCAGCCAGGAAATCAGAAGACGCTTACTTTTTGGGAGGAGAGCAATGACTAATCTCGATAAAATAGTGAAGAGTAGAGACATCACACTGGCAACGAAGATCCGCATAATTAAAGCAATGGTATTCCCTGTAGTAACCTACGGATGTGAGAGCTGGACCATAGGGAAGGCTGAGCGAAGGAAGATAGATGCTTTTGAACTGTGGTGTTGGAGGAAAGTTCTGAGAGTGCCTTGGACTGCAAGAAGATCCAACCAGTCCATACTTCAGGAAATAAAGCCCGACTGCTCATTGGAGGGAAGGATAGTAGAGGCAAAGATGAAGTATTTTGGCCACATCATGAGAAGACAGGAAAGCTTAGAGAAAACAATTATGCTGGGAAAAATGGAAGGAAAAAGGAAGAGGGGCCGACCAAGGGCAAGATGGGTGGATGGCATCCTTGAAGTGACTGGCTTGACCTTGAAGGAGCTGGGGGTGGTGACGCCAACAGGAAGCTCTGCCGTGGGCTGGTTCATGAGGTCACGAAGAGTCGGAAGCGACTGAATGAATGAACAACAAATAAAGAGGTGTGGAGAATCACAGTAAACAAACTGACTTCTGAAATAAAAAAATTAAAAAGGATTAACGAAAAGAAATGATTTTGAGATAATATGGGCTGAATTCTTAGAATACATACTTGTCCAAGAAAAAGGAGTAAAACCAAATCAACATACATTAGCATTTTGGAGAAGAGGTCGATATAAGAATCATTAATATTAAGGATGAATATTTGTCTCATGGGTGGTGGGTGAACGTAGAGATTACATGTATAAAAATATATGATTTATTATATGTTTTGTGTTAATGTTAGTTGTGTGTGATTTGTATACTTTATTATTTAAAACCAAAGAAAAAAAGAAGTAAGCTCCGTTGTCTCCAAGGGAACTTTCTCCCAGACAAGCAGGAACAAGACTACAGTTTAAATTATTTACAATCCATAACAATAATTGTGTACTTTGGTTGAGAAATGTCTTTTATTCTAAAGAATCCTGCTGTATTGATAAATATCTTTCTTAATAGTAACTATTCTGCAGCTGAAGCATATCTAGGTATGATACTATTAAAAATGAGTCAAGCAAATCCAAGCATATATATCAATCAGATCTTTCCAGTAAAGCTGCCTTTTTGAAAGAAAAAAATCCATCTGCCTTATTAAACATATGGTGCACTATCTCAAGGTGTAGAAGGGTTTTTTATTTATCCCTTTACTGTTGATCGGAAACACATTCCCATTATACCAAGAGCTTTAATAAAATAGAGCTAGCAGTTTGAGTTAACAAAATCGTAAATCAGCGTATTAAAAAGTACTTCCCTCACATTTGAAAAGAATCCTGCTTCCCTTATTAAACATAAAATTGAATAAAACAACACATTAATCATGACTTCTAAAAGAAGATAGCTAACCAAAAAAATTAATCTTTTCATATATAGAGAGAGGGGGGGATTTTGTTTTTTTAAAAACCATGAAGTATACATATAGTATAAAGTTCAAAAACTATCATTCAGTAACACAACCAATCTGCTTCTCTAAAAAAAAGACTTAAGACAAAATAATAATTTTTTGTTTCACAATTTTCTATAACTGTACGTGACAAAGGCAAAATATCTCATATCATTATATTCTGCTCCTTTAAGCCTCTGGCTATACGTTTCACTAACAACTTAAATTTGATTATTTGTTCCCATCGCAACACATTTAATACCTGACATTTTGAAACTAGTTTTATATTTCCAAGTGGCGGTAATTTTTAAGAATTTCCTGTTGCTTAAAAACTCATCCATCTTTCTAGAATATGTAAACTCTCCACTGTTTAAATCAATGAACAAATGCTTCCCATTACTAAATTTAATAATTTTAACAAAATTATAGTATAGCATGTAGAATTCTTAGAGCCCTTTTCAAACACGCCAGTTGTTCTATGGTTATGACTTTCCTATAGTGAGACACATTTTTTAAATTATAAAGCAGCATATATGGCTTCTGTTCAATCCAGGGGTAATCGTTTATAGCATCAAGAACAGATCAGATATATAAGTTTACATATACTCCAGTAGGTAGGCAGTCTGTTTTTGAAATATGAAGAGCATTTACAGTTGTTATACTAGTCTACCCAGACTCACAGAGTATTTTGATTCATTATAGTTCCTTTGCCATTCTGATATTTGCTAAATATAGTTAAATACGCTACACAAATCAATAATAATTGTTGATATTAACATTATATAGATTGCTTAAAGTTCCAGTGACACCTATGCTTAAAAATCAGCTCACAGAAACATATACATACAACTCTAGTGTCTGAGAGAAAGAGCTGGTTTAGTAAATAATCATACATCAGTCTAGATCAGTGGTTCTCAACCTGGAGTCCCCAGATGTTTTTGGCCTACAACTCCCGGAAATCCCAGCCAGTTTACCAGCTGTTAGGATTTCTGGGAGTTGAAGGCCAAGAACATCTGGGGACCCCAGGTTGAGAACCACTGGTCTAGATCAATGAACACTACCTAACAAAACAGCAAAGAACTAAATAAAGGACAGAAGTTAATAGTTGATACAAATATTGAATAGAAGAATGAAGATATAATTGACGGAGCGGCACCGGGTAGGCGTGGCCAGGGAACGCCGGCTTCCCTGGCCACGCCCACCCGGCGCCGCTCAGCCAATTGCGGAAACCCTCTGCTCCGGCCGCTCTGCCTGTGTGGGAGGGAGAAGCCTCCCAGGTGGGTCCTCTGCAGAGCAGAGCGGCTGGAGCAGAGGGTGTCCGCAATTGACGGAGCGGCGCTGGGTGGGCGTGGCCAGGGAACGCCGGCGTGGTGAAGGCAGGTGAACTACAACTCCAAAACTCAAGGTCAATGCCCACTAAACCCAGTATTTTCTGTTGTTCATGGGAGTTCTGTGTACCAAGACTGGTTCAATTCCATCATTGGTGGAGTTCAGAATGCTCTTTGATTGAACTATAAATCCCAGCAAATACAACCCCCAAACGCCACCAGTGTTCACATTTGGACATATTGAGTATCAGTGCCAAGTTTGGTCCAGATCTATCATTGAGTCCACAGTGATTTATGGAGGCAGGTGAACTACAACTCCAAAACCAAAGGACACTGCCCACCAAACCCTTCCAGTATTTTCTGTTGGTCATGGGAGAACTGTGTGCCAAGTTTGGTTCAATTCCATCGTTGATGGGGTTCAGAATGCTCTTTGATTGTAGGTGAACTATAAATCCCAGCAACTACAACTCCCAAATGTCAAGATTCTATTTTCCCCAAACTCCACCAGTGTTCACATTTGGGCATATTGAGTATTTGTGCCAAGTTTGATCCAGATCCATCATTGTTTGAGTCCACAATGATCTCTGAATGTAGGTGAACTACAACTCCAAAACAAAGGACACTGCCCACCAAACCCTTCCAGTATTTTCAGTTGGTCATGGGAGAAATGTGTGCCAAGTTTGGTTCAATTCCATCGTTGGTGGAGTTCAAAATGCTCTGTGAGTGTAGTTGAACTATAAATCCCAGCAACTATAACTCCCAAATGACAAAATCAATTTTTGTGTGAAGGACATACATTGGGTTGTTAGGTGTCTTTTGTCCAAAATTGGTGTCAATTCGTCCAGTGGTTTTTGAGTTCTGTTAATCCCACAAACGAACATTACATTTTTATTTATATAGAAGTGTGGGTTTTTGTTTTTTTGATTTGGGGGGGGGGGGTTGCACTGTAAATAATATATGTGCAGAGTGCATAGGAATTCA